AATATTACTCAATTTTTGTATTTCACATAATAGGGAACTTTTACAGTTTTGTTTCAGTTTCTACATTGCTATATGTAGAAACTATGCCCAGGAGAATTATAGTTTGTGTGAAAGGGGAAAGATATGATTTATTGCTGATATACCCTTAGCTATGCTTACTTCTGGTATATTCATTAAAATCAATACATTCTTTATGGCAATTCTGTGTGCATCATTTAACAATATCATGTATTTGAAAAGGCTGTATTTGTTTAAGTTGCTTTAAGATTATAGCCCCAAGGCTGTAGCTGGCAGAATGACAGCGTGAGAACTCATTAAACAAAGTGATCGCTGAAAAAGTTTCATTCCATGTTAATTGCTTTCCATATTAACTATGACTCCTGGCTGAGCTGATCATTTGCATGACTACATTCTGACCCCAAAGCATTCTTCTGGGTGCACAAACAGCCTGCCATTCCTGTGCTGGAATGGAAACTATTTCATAATGGTTTCTTGGTGGGAGCTGTTATTACTTGTGATTTTTTAAAAAACAATTAAGACTCTTTGCCAAATTATAGAAATAATCACAGTTGAGTAGATGGAAAATGATATTTAATTATTTAATTTTAATTATATTTCTGTTGGAATGTTGGATGTAGGTGTTACTTGCTGGTTTAATTATTTTAAAAGGAACTTTTTCTGTTGGGGATTATTTTCCCACAAGAGTAACTTTTCAGGGTAACACATGATAGAAGTAAGTGATTGAAGCACACTGTGTTCCTGCCTGTTCTTTCATGCTTGGGTATGTAGAGTTCCTAGTCTTCTTTTTTGTGAGAGATTCATCCCTAATTCTTCTTTAGCCAAAAGCACCATCAACTGGTGGACTCCAGCATGCCAGGGCATTCCTTCTCCCTAACACCAATGCCTGTTTGCCCTACACTCCAAAATGAGAGGTTGAGAATGAGCCAGAAAGCAAAACTTTGGCAGCAATATGAGAGAAGTAGTAGAACCGCTATCTTAAATCTTGTGTAGGCATTGTTACATGTGCAGTCACTTTTAAGCTTTCTCACGTCTAATATACACATACAATGCATACCCAAAATGAGTATCATGGTTTTTCTTTGCTTTTTTAAAGAACAGAGCTCTGAAGTAATGAGGCAGAATAATTTGTCTGCTGGTTGACCTCTATTAACCTATTCTTGATTTATCCAGTGCCACATAAGAAGCTGCAAACACAGCAAAAAGGCATACTTTCTGCAACAGAAAGTATGCTCCTGTGAAAATGATTTTCTGCTTTGCAGTAACAGAAAGACAGCAGCAGTTTGTTTGCAGGAGAAAATGAGTCTTTTATTCTAAATATTGTTTTTCAGAGGTTGTAGAGTACTATTTAAGTTCAAATATTCATGTGTTCCATAATCTTTCTTAGGTTGTGAGTCTTTTTAGTGCTTTGTTGTCTCCTCTGCGTAGCATTAGCAACTTTTCAAAGTCTTAAAAGTCTTCCTTAGTTTTACCTATTTACCTGAGATCTTTCTACTGGAAGCTTGGATTGTATACTTGCAAGGGGCAGTGCTCTACAGGTTGGCTTGACTGCTTTCCACCATTATAAAAATATCACATTACCATTAGATCCTAGAAAAGGATTTAATGCCCATGAGAAAATTCTATAAAAGTAAGACCATGGCACTGTGCAGGGGGCATAATCTTGGCTGCTCATGTGAGTATGGTTGAAGTCATTATTGTAACAGGAATTGCAGCTTTCTTCAGCAGTATATTTTCACAGAACATTCTCTTTATCACAGAAGAATTCCTGTTGATTCTGCATATTCAAAGCAATGCATGAAATAATTGTTTCTATTACCTGTCAGAAAATAGAGATAGTTGTGTGAAAACATGCATTTTTGAGTAGATCTGATTGAACTCTGACCTGTGCAATTTCCATGCTGTGGTTATAATGGTTTTAATCTTACAACTTCTGAAAGAGCATTTAATACCTATGTTCTTTAGGGGCTTGGGCAGTTGTAGGGTAAAACCAAGAAAATCCTCAGTCCAAATGAGGGTTAAAGAGCATACATGGTCGAAGGCAATCCAGGAGCAAAGCCAGAAAAAGCCTCAGAGACAAAGAACACAGTCAAAAGCTCCCTTTAAGAACTTACATAAGTCTTGTCTAAGAGAAAATTAAGCAAGGGTGCCCTGATCTAAAGGAGAAATTCTGTTCCAGCAGCTCCTCCAGCCAGGAACTCAAGATTTGAAGTCACACCCACTCATCAGTTGCAACTCATAACAGATTTCTGAAAGTAATCATCCGCATAATGAAATCTGTATAGCCAAGAAGCCCTTTGCCACAGTGAAGGATATTTCCTGATCATGAACATGTTGGCTTGCTTTTAAGGCATTATCACTCCCCGAGGCTTAGTGACCACTTTATTTCAGGCTCTTAGGAGGAGATCACATTAGCGTTAAAGACTGAGGTTTTCATCTCCCTATCGCCCGGTTTGCTCATACAGAATTCTGGGAAATGTAGTTTAAGTAAGCCAGGACCTCCCTAGCTGAAAATTCTGAAGGCCCTGTCATAAACTACATTTCCCAGAATTCTGCATGAGCAAACAGAGTGATTGGGAGATGAAGGCCTCCATTCTGTAATACGAATATGATCTCGTCCTCAACCAGCATTACACTTCATTGCCAGGGATGAACTGTGAGTCTGAATTAGAGATAACATATAACCTCTGTGCTGTGCTATTTTGAGTATAATAATCAGTTTCTGATGTCTGGTTGGCATTGGCAGCCCAAGGCCCAAGCAGGAGAAGGGGGCACCCGGGCATGCCCATGCCATTACTGTGGAAAAATTGTGGTAGGCAAAATGCAATTCAGCATACATGACCTCAAGAGTTGCTTCCAAAGTCAGGATACTTTTTTCTTTACTTGATCCCATATTCTCATATTCAGATTGTACATGTATCACTAAAAAAAATTTAGGATTAGTAACTTCTCAGAACTTAATTGCAATAGTGTTTTCTAGCTTACTATAGAAGTCTTTATTTATGATGGAAAATCTCGCTTCATTAAGAATAAAATGTTGCAAAAAAGACTTTATGTATGAGAGAAAGAGAATGAGAGGGGGCTCAAGAGAGCAGACTTGAAGAGAATTAATACTAACACTACTTGAATATTGGCGTCATGCTATTTCTATTAGTACAGATTCATGGTATGCATAAGAATGTGCAATAGGGAAGGCTATACAAAAAGGTCTGATCTGCATTGTTCATAAAAAAGTTGCTTTTATGTCTTGTCATTTTATTTTATCACTGGATATACCAGCTATCTTTTAATGATGTACTTGCAACATTATTTGAAAAGTTTGGTCACTGAAGAAGGGACTTTTAATGAGTGGGTGCTTTATTGATTCATTTAAAAATGTATTTGCATTTCATTGTGTTGTAATAGTATTGCTTGTTTGTGTTTTCATAACATAAAATACAGCATGTGTTTTGAGTCACCCAATTGTGTTTTGGACCACCTCAAACCCCAGCTTATAGAGAAAGGCAGGATAGAAATATTGTTTTAAAAATAAAAAATTCAGTGAAGTGCTAAATAATAATTTGGTAGCAATCATTCATACGCCACCAGAGGTAATTATTAACTAAAGGAGTAACCAGAACTTATCACAATGTTACAAAATTGGCTGCATCATTTGTATCAGTCTATGTAAACTTTGCACGGAATGTCACATCTTCCCCAAAAGAGAAACCAACATTAAGCCTCATTTCACTCACAAACTCATTTACTCTAGGATACAATATAGCTAATAAAACTAATAATTTCTTTAAAAAGAGAACACTTTTAAAAAAATTAGTTATAAAAGGATATCATGGGCCATCTCATCCAACTTTCTGCTCAATGCAAGATCCCCAGTAAAGAACTATATTCACTCTTTCTGAAGCTATCCAACGAAGGATACCTCACTACCTCTGTAGAAAATTAGTGCCACTGCCAAACCATCAAGAAGTTCCTTCTAATGTTTAACTGAAATATCCTCTTCTGCAATTTCAGACTATCAGACCTGGTCCTATCCTCGAAGGCAGCAAAGAACAGGCTTATCCCCTCCTGTCTATGAGGGGTTTTTTTAATACTGGTAGCCAGATGATGTTCATTTTCATGGTTTCCTTCTTTCTGTTGAAATTGTCCACATGCTTGGGGATTTCAGTGGCTTCTCTGTGTAGTCTGACATGGTGGTTAGAGTGATCCAGCATTTCTGTGTTCTCAAATAAAATGCTGTGTCCAGGTTGGTTCATCAGGCGCTCTGAATTAGTGTGCAGTGCCTTTCATTTTTCCTTGATTCATGTTTGGGCTCTGTGTTTGGTGAACATGAACAAAATCAACAAAATCTGGCTACCAGTATTTTTAAAAAAACTCTAAAATCAGGACAATAAATAAAGAGCAACACTCAAAAAGCATGGGAATTCCAGACAAGAATCAATCAGAGCTAGCTAACACATCCCAACAAAGGATTCCCCAGGCAGGAAACAGCCAGATTTTGAAGGTACAAGGCCATTAAATGCTAATCAAGGTGGCCATTTGCAACATTCACACTTGCCTCAAGCAGACAAGTTCTTTCTCCCACCCTAGACATTCCACAGATATATAAACCTCAAATGTCTAGTTTCCAACAGACCTTACAACCTCTGAGGATGCCTGCCATAGATGTGAGTGAAATGTCATAAGAGAATGCTTCTGGAACATGGCCATACATCCCGGAAAACTCACAGCAACCCAGTGATTCCAGCCATGAAAGCCTTCAACAACACAGTGATGAATGTTCATTTTTGAAGAGAAAAGAACATATTTTTCTAGAGCAATAAATATTAATCCTAAACCCACTAGAATAATATTGTCCACAAATACATATAGAGTATACTATTTGTTCAGGCACTAATAAAAATATTTTCATTTTTTTTAACGCTTTCTACTTATGTGGATGATAAACAATCCTCTTCTGGCACTGTTGGATTTCCATTCCACAGGAAACAACCAAAAGTAAGTGGCCTTCTTATCCTCCTTGTTCTGCCAGGACACAGACCATTTGCTGTGTTCACAATGTTATATAACATGTCCGAGTATTCAAAAGCTATATCCACTCTGTTCCGATTAATAATGTGATTTATGGCTGTTTCTTGTATTACCGTTACACAATAGGTTTATAAGAATGCAGATCAAAGTTGGGAATTGGGTAGAAAAAGGCTAGTAAGTGGTAAAACAGTCTTTTGTGTTGCCTGGTTAATCACATGAAAGTCTGATTCCTTGACAAGTTGACAGTCAAATATGGCTAAAAGGCATATTCAGCAGATCTGATTTAACAGATGGATATACTAGAACTAGACTATTAGTAACGGACAGTAAATGTAGATATTTGTAAACATAATAAAAGACTTTATATTTTATGGGTCTTGGTCCTAAATATTTGGATATCAGTGTACTTCCTCAATACACTGTTCTTCATAGGTGAGCCCTTTTTCCCTTTTCTGGTGCATCAGTGGGGGGTCGAGCAAATAAGGAGCCCCATTGCACCCCATGTTTTGCACCTGAGACAAAGTGCACCCTGCATTTCCCTTGTGGTTTGACACTGCCACAGACTGCCACCTGCCAGGTCACTAGATTAACCCACTGCCTATATATGTGGTATCACATCAAAAGAAAGCTACTTTTCCTGCTGAGAATGAAAGTAAATTTTAAGATTCTAGTACCATATAGAAATTTGAATAGTGAAACATTGAGTTTAAAGGATGTCTTTTTAAGACCTGCAAGTATTACCTTGCTAATCAAATTGGTGTAAATACAGAATTGAAAAGTTTTTATTTGAATTTTCTTATGTAGGTGTTTGCCTTCGATTACTGCTTTTGGTCAATGGATGAATCAAACACTGCAAAATATGCAGGTATATATTTTGTTACTTGTTTGCTTGGCTGAGCAAGTAGTCAGACAAGTGACTGAGGAATAAATGGTAGAGGTGTGAGATAGGCACTCTCAGTATCTTCTGTCCTGAGAGCCTGTTACCTGATGATTGCTGTTGCTTATTGTGTATCATTGAAGGCATGATTTGTGCCTTCTTGCACTTAGATGTTTGCTTGTAGTCTTTATGTATCTGCTACATTTATCTGTCTCCCCTCTCCCCAATTGAAATCATTATGACTCTAGATGAGAAAGAAACCATGGGATATAGAAACCACCCAGATCATGTTGTTACCGCTCCTTAGAATCTTAGAAGAGAAATATTGTAAGAAAAAAATACTTAAGACACTTGGAAAGCCTGAGAAATTAACATTGACTGGGTTTAATGAAGGTGTTATTTTAAAAGGCTGCCTCTAATGAAGTAAGCTGGAGTAAATAAAAGTTTATGTCAAATCAAATTTATTAGCTATTTTGCTTTTCCTGTTATTATTGAAATAAGTTAGATTAGTCATAGATTCAGTTATTGATTTAATTCTTTAAAATATTGCTGTTTTATTTTTATATATGGGTTTTGTTATTTACAATTGAGGATTAGTTTTCTTCTGGTGGACATATTTAATATTTAAAGTTTTTGTTTCTATTTTGTGTATTAAATGTTATAGGTCAACAAGTAGTGTTCAAGTGCCTTGGAGAAGGAATTCTAGAGAAGGCCTTTCAGGGATATAATGCTTGCATTTTTGCCTATGGACAAACAGGTGAGATAGTGCTATCTTTCAAGTGAGGCTGTTTCATTGCTCCAGGGTTTTGCCATATTCCCACATTTGGAGAATAGTTGTTCTCTCAAGGTCTCCAGAACAATTCTGTGGTCCACTTTCAGCAGAATTTCCAGTAGAACTTCCAGCAGATATTGAAAATAGAACTGCTGTGGAGGCCTAAAGAGAACACTTCTCTAGGCATGGCTAGGTCCTCCTTCATGATTATATAATTTTCAAAGGTCTTTGCATATAACTGACAATGCATGCAACAAAATTGTATTATAAGCATGCCTATTGTACAACAAGAACAAACTACATTATGATTATAATTACAAAATGTAAAGCTTACCAAGCAGTATACAATTACAGATAAATTGCACTGTGAATTCTGATTAATTTCACAGTGCAATTTATTTGTAATTGTATATTGTTTGTTAAGCTTTTCTTTTTCACCTTTCATGTATTTTAATTGTGCAATACTTATTCTGCTTTTTAGAAGTATAAATGGTTTGAGTTCATATTCAATGTTTGCATTTGGGTTGCTAGTGAATTATTCAGCACTTCTAATAAGAAACTCAGTTAAATTACTTGACTTCCAGTCCTAGCACACCATACAAGTGTGTTGGAGAATCAAGAGATAATCTCTAAAAAAATTGCTACGTCTTTCAATGCAATTCTGTAGTACCTTCCAGAGAATGCATACCCTAGAATCACCTAGAAGACCTAACAAATTCCTAGGGAGACCATTTCTCTCCCCCCCCCCCCACCCCTTTCTTTTCTAAACATGGGTAAGTGAAATTGTGAATATGAGCTGTGAGGTTATGGGGTTCTTGTGGTACTCTAAAATGCTCATAGTGATTGTGGGTAGTATAGAAACTTCTTCCAAAAATCCAAGTAATGTTTAAAGTAGATGTTACTTTCCTATATTTATTCTCTTTCAGGCTCAGGAAAATCCTTCTCAATGATGGGCAATGCAGAGCAGCTGGGTCTGATCCCTCGCCTCTGCTGTGCTTTATTTCAGAGAATAACATCAGAAGAAAATGATTCACACACCTTCAAAGTTGAAGTGTCCTATATGGAAATCTATAATGAGAAAGTCAGGGATCTCCTAGACCCTAAAGGGTGAGTAATTGTTTTCTGTTACTTAAGATGGGTAAATTGAAAATAGGAATGTGTGCATTGAGGCTCAGATTATAGCTGTAGTCTTGCATTCTTAAATATGGCTTTCCTAATTCATGTGTAAAGCAGAGAAAAGCAATATTAACGGAGTGAAAGAATACAAAGGTGAGGAGTCCTGACTTCTGGGTACTCTTTGGATTTTAAAATATCACCCCATCCCAATTTTATATGTGAATTGACAGAATGACATTTAATCTCACAAGTTTATGCCTGCCCCATCATGTTAACGTGGATCTGACTGGACATGTTGGGTCGAATCTTAGATCTCAGCCCTACTGTATTTCCCAGATGAAGCTGGGATAAGCCCTGAAACAGAAAGGAAGCAAACAAACAACAAACGGTAACCTTGGCCTAGGGAGTGACCAAATCCCAGCACTACTTTCAGCCCAACACTAAAGTTCATTTCAAATATCAGTGTTTTATAAAACTTCGTATGTTTTATATGCATATGATGCATGTGTGGTATTATCTGTGGACTATGAGATTAGTATAGGATCTTTGTAGAGTTTGCTTGTTAAGAAGATGTTTTCAGGGTCTGGCACTGTATGTCACCATAATGTGTGGTTGCTGGCCCTAGGCACATAATACTGCAGTTCCTACATTGCTAGCATCACACATGGCAAAGCTTACCAAGCAATACAACCACGGAGAGATGTCAGCTATTGTCAAATTGGAGTTGATCAGGGTCACTATAAAACGGATCCGCATATAGCTGAATCTTTACTTCTTATATTTTGCCAACAGATTTATTATTTGAGCCTTATTTGACAACATTAAAGTAAAATGTCATTCCTTTAGAGCAGTGGTTCTCAACCTGTGGGTCCCCAGGTGTTTTGGCCTAAAACTCCCAGAAATCCCAGCCAGTTTACCAGTTGTTTAGATTTCTGGGAGTTGAAGGCCAAAACATCTGGGGACCCCAGGTTGAGAACCACTGCTTTAGAGTTAGCTCTTGTTATTTAGATGGATGCCCTTCAGAAATGATCATATTTTTCCACAACAGACATTTGTCTTAATAATTAGCATTTGCTGTAGAGATACGACATTTGCTCTTATTGCTATAGCATTGGTGTTTTGGTAACCTAATTTCTGTACAATAATAGTAGAGGACAGAGTAGAGGACTAGGCTCTTGTGAGAGAAGCTGTCAGTGTTGTTACAACAGTCTTTTCCATATTCCCTTTAGTGTTGCAGCTGCGAAAGTAAGATGAAAACGGAAGTGACTTATGTGTGATGTTATGAGAAATCATGTTCTATAAATATCTGTAATAGTCTTTGTTTTCTAATAAATTAATATTTTCCTGTTAACAAAGATTTAATATATTGCTTGGTGATTATTGTTGAATTTTAAATTATGATAACTTTTTCTTTCAAAGAAGTCGCCAGTCACTCAAAGTTCGTGAGCACAAGGTTTTGGGTCCATATGTAGATGGTTTGTCTCAGCTAGCTGTTACTAGCTTTGAGGTAAGTAAAAAATAACTACCATATCTAGTGAAGTTAATGTATTGCGAAGGGTGGAATCAGGGACAACGTATATGGAAGCCACAGCACACTGGTCTGTACAAGGCTGGATAAACAGCTGAATGGATGAAATAAGAGAACTTACCCTCTGAATGGAGAAGAGGGATACCCACATGTAATATTTATGGGGAAAGTAGTTTATTAGTTCACAATTTAACTAATTCAAATGTATGCATTAATGTTTAATCAATTGCTAGAAAAAATATAGACAATATATATACCTCCCAAATATTTAATAGCTATTTATTATTAATGTTCTTATATCAATAAGAATATTTCTGGTAGCAGATTATAAATGAATTCAGTCATAGTCTGTTTCCTAAACACTTTTCTAGGTTTGGGTTTGGAAGAGAGGTGACGTTTTAATACTAATTTTATTAAAGTTGAGTAATTCTGTCATTAGATTTGAAGTAATTCATGGGCTTTATACATGTGTAAAAGCTAGTGATTCTACATGTAATAACTCTCGACTTAAAGAAGGACAGTATTCGTGTAAATAGGATGAAATATTTTGTAACTCTGTCCTAAATATTAAGATCTTGGTCTCATTACTGCAGGGAGAGGCAGGTAATAAATTATTATTATTACACATTTGGCAAGGACCTGGGCTCCTCCCAGGCTATTGGACTTTCTTCCATTGTATGCTACTTTCTTGGTTCTCTTTTTGCTTTTTTTTCTCTTGATTTCTCTTTTTGCTGGTAGGCAGAACATTTTTATTAGGGTTGTCATTTTGTATTAAAATAAGAATATATTAAAAGTAAACTTAAACATATTTATTTATTCAGGAACATAAATAAGTTCCAGGATGATCCAGGCTGGTGCCCAAGCTTCCTTTCTAGCTAAGCAAAACAAAACAATTATTTGGAAAATTAGTTAAATTTCTTTCAAGTACTGGATTATTCCTGAAGACAGCTGAGAAATTTGATTTCAACAGTTTTTCAGGAAGGCACCTGGATGAATAGTCAGCCCATTGTGAAATAATTTTACATAAGGGAGGAGATAGTAAAGTTCACATGTAAATGTGTAATAGTATAGTTTGTACTCCCATTTATTTATTTGATCAATGTCATATTTTACTTTTTGTAATATGCTAATTTTATACAATAGGTTGTGAGAGAATGTTGCAAATTGTTTCATGTTGTGTTTCAGGATATTGAGTCATTGATGTCAGAAGGAAACAAGTCCCGAACAGTTGCAGCAACCAACATGAATGAGGAAAGCAGCCGCTCCCATGCTGTATTTAATATTATAATTACTCAGACACTTTATGATCTTCAGTCTGGTGTAAGTGAATTGAGCCTAAGGGGTTTTTTTTAAAGTTACATTGGTTGTGTGATCTAAAACATGCACTTATAATTCCCATCCAATGAATTCAGTGTCAATCTGGATTTTGGTCTTTTAAAACTTGCACTATAAATGTAATTTGAATAGAAATGCTTTTAAAAAATAATTATTAAACAACATTACACAAAAAATAGTGCTTTTTAATTTGGGACAATAACCTAAAGGAATTGCAAATCACTTCTGGTGTGAGAGAATCAGCCATCTACAAAGATGCTGCCCAGGGGATGCCCGGATGTGTTACAGTCCTGTGGGGAGGCTTCTCTCATGTCATGTAACCTCACCTGATAGCTTTACAATGCCATGAAACACATGTTCTGTTGAGGACGCACATTTCCATGAGACACCATATTTTATTTATTCTAAACCATAAAGGATTTTTTAATGTGTATCTAGAATTTGCCTCTGTGCAATAATTTGTGAGAATGGACAGGTGTGTTTCAGCTATCAGAAATTGGAAACAGTTTTAATAACAAATACAGGTCAATCCTTCTCAGATAACTCTACTTTGTGCATTCAAAGAGTAGACTAGAAAACTTGAAAGACATTATACCAGAGAGATTTTTTTGTCAGTTCCCATCTCAAGTGCCTGAAATTAGTTCTCTCATGATAGACAGTTAAGCTAAATGACATTGATTAATTGCTGGAAAGGTCAGTTGAAGAAGGATTACAATTCACTCAGATGTTCAAGGGGGGGGGGGGGTTGAACAGATTTTTCAGAATACATCTTAGTAGTCACATGGTGATCACTTGTTTGAAAATGCCCCCATAGAGGTTTTTCCTCACGTGAAAAGCTAAAATATCAGGGAGAGGTCTTGACTGAGTATAAAAGACAAACCTCTGTGGAAGGATGGGACTGCAGTATCTTCAGATTAATCAAAGGGATTTTGCAAGGTGTGTCATCCCTGTGTGTATTTTTTGCCAATATGCACAGAATGAATCTTGTAAATAAAGCAAACCTTTTTTTCCTGGCGCATCTGTAGTGGAGAGAAAATGGAAAGAGTACTTTCATACTTAGTTGTAACTGTTTAAGTATTCTTCATTTTTGCTTTTTGGCAGACGTTTCTGACAGTTTTGATACCAAATTAATGTATTTTCAAATGAAAGTTGAGTCCAGTTATTCATTTTAATAACCTTTAGTTCTCATAGTTGGGAAATCAAATGTCAAAATTATGATACAGACAGGCCCGTAGCCAGGATTTTGATTCAGGGGAGGGGGGGCTGAGTCTGAGTGAAAGAGGGTCTACCCTAGCAAACCTTTTGTATCGTTACCCCAATACCCCCATGCATATGGGATATATTGAGTATGGTGATCAGATCATGATATGAATAAACATAACAGTTTAAATAATGCACCATTAAGGCCTTTTCGCGAACCACCATGAAAATTTCGGGGGGGGGGGGGCTGAAGCCCCCTAAGTCGTCGTCCCCCCCCCCCCCCCGGCTACATGCCTGGATACAGAACAAATTTGTTTTGGATGAAAAATGGGTATCTAAAGATATTTGTAGCTGTTGAATTATTATGAAGCCTTTACAATAGCATGTAAGTGCCTTTGCATTTAGAAACCCCAGTAATAGTATTTTGCTGTACTAAAAGATTTTTTACCTATCCAATATTTTTGTTTGTTTGTTGTTTTGCAAAGTCAGAACAGCTATTAAAGCAGAACTCTTGATTGTTATGTTTTATGTTTCTTTGTATTTTTGCTTAGAACTCTGGAGAGAAAGTGAGCAAAGTCAGCCTGGTAGATTTGGCTGGTAGTGAAAGAGTATCTAAAACAGGAGCAGCAGGAGAACGTCTGAAGGAAGGCAGCAATATAAACAAGTAAGTGCATTGGTGAAATCAAATTCCCCAAGCCAGATATTAATTGTAGCTCCAACCATTAGAAAAATCTATCAAATCAAGTATTGAATCAGCTGGTTGCATACAAATGACATCTTTGCATTCGAAATCTTATGATAAGCCACTAATGAGCCAGCCATATGATCAATGTGAGATCTTTAACTTGGAGCAACAGCAGCATCAATTCAATGAAAAGATGCTCACACCTGATAACCTTTTTTAAAAAATTAAGGATAGTAGCAGACATGGCATCAAATACCAACCAATAATGTACACTTTTAATAACTGCAGGAATCTTGCATCTAGTTATTGTATCCAGTATTGAAGACAAATTGTATCCATTATTGAAGTAAAAATGACTAACAGTAAAAGCTACAGTTTTAACGGTGTGTGGCCTTTAAAGATGTCAGAGCTGCCCATAACTTCAGTGTTGGAGTTATATCCCATAGGGAATGTATTTTCACAGAAAATAAGAAAAACAAAATATATCTCTGCTTTAATTACAGGAATTTACAATAAAAATAATTCATATAGTTCTAAGTTTAAAAGAACTTTTGAAACTTCTTGATTTTTTGTAATAAAACTATTGAGTATATAAACAGTTAATAAAACCACAATCAGTTTTATTGGCATAGTTTATAGTTATCCATATGTACCAGCTACTCTGCTGCTAATGTTGCCTTGTATATTGCATAACAATATAAAAGAATTTGATAGTTAGCTTCATGATCATGTGTTTATTTTCTGTTCTTCTAGTGTGAACAAATACATCAATTTCTTTCCCTGTTCCCACTACTGATGTTGGTATTTTTTTTATCCATGGTAACTTTTTAACCAAGGATTGAATTTAGCTTACAGCAACTTCTGCCACCACAGGGACATATTTTCAAGGCACTTCTACCAGTTATAATCTACTAAACATACTGAAAGCTCAGGACAGTGTATGCCTTACTATGTCCAGTGTGACTTATGTCCTGAATTTTTCATCACAAGCATGTACCCAAGAAATTCATGATTACTTGGGGTTTGAGTCCTTCCAAATTTTTGCCTCTTGATTTCACATGTGATTTGAAATTGAGTTTAACTAGATGCAAGATGTGGCAGAAATGTAGAAGATCCTTTCTATCTAATTATACTTTGACTCAACCTGGAGTAGATCCAACTTAACCATTATTGTTAAAGCTGTTATGCTGATGCTTTTGTGTAAACATTCTTAAATTATTTAATAAGCTTTTGATTTCATTATTGCATTAAGTTTAAGCTTGAAAACAAACCAAATGTTCACTTAATTCTTTTTTAATTGATTACTAGAATTTGAAACTTACAGTAGTTTCGCATGTCTGCTCCTGTAAATGATAAAACAGCGCAGAATAGAAATGGGAGCCTCACTTGTACACATTAAAAAAGGCACAAATGAATGAGTACAAATGCCCTTATTCAATGCTAAACATGTGGGAACAATGTGTGTTGAATTTCAGCATACGGTAGCTCAACTTCTACTCTGTTCTCCTTTGATTTAACATTTTGTTATCAGTGTGTTGTATGTTGCACATAGCTAAATATGCTTATATATGTAAGGAAATTAAACTATAAAACCTCGCAGTGATATCTCTTATAATATATTCCATATTAGATTGCTGAAGAGATGTGATTTTTAAGCTTGTTTATTTCCAGATAAGAGCATTTTTTGCAGTTCAGTGCATAGTAGCACTAGAAATTAATAGTTCTGTTGTATTTTTCTACATTTCAAATCTTTATTTTGGAACTCCACTGGATAGTTATACTTGTTATCCATAGAGTTGTATTTACTGCTTTTAAAACCCAAGTAAATCTACAGACTTATCCCTTTTATTATGTTTTTATGATCTATTGTTTTTCTGTTTGGATTCTTCTGTTGAAAAGCGGCTTTGATTTGATATGGTTTTATTATTTCCTTAAGACCAAATTCCTTGTGAACTTCTACCCCTTCCTTGGTTCTGTCTTTTTGTATCTGCCATGTTCCTGGGTGGTCTTTTTCTTGGTCTGCACTTTATTCAACTGTGTGTGGCACAACAGAGCACTCCTTTGTAGCTTATTGTTAATGTTCATTATGACCTGCAATCCATAGGATTCACAATGCTGTCTTATCCTTCTACACATTTACTGCACAAATTCTTTTAAAATCTTGACATATTTAGTTCATTTTATATTGCAATTCCAGCTTTTTCTTACAAGACTGATTCTTATAAGCATTGTGTCAAATCATTGGTTTTGTGTTCAAGCCCATAACAATTTGCTGCTCTTCTAGGTCACTCTCAACACTAGGTTTGGTTATCTCATCACTTGCAGACCAAGCAGCAGGAAAGGGGAAAAACAAATTTGTGCCTTATAGAGATTCTGTGCTCACCTGGCTTCTCAAGGTAAATCCTTACTTTGATTCATAGATAGGAATGAAAGATTAAATGTCTTTAATTGTTACTGTCATGTTTTCATGTGAACCCATGTTTGGTTTTAAGTGAGCTAAGAATAATCTGCAATTGCAGCCTATTCCTACTGTGACATGCTTTTTGCTTCCTTTTTTAATATTTTCAAAATGTTACTTATTTCCCACTTTGATTTTGCAGCCATTTCTAATGTGAGAGGTAAAAATCTTCAGAGCAGTATATGTCAGGTTCAGCTAAAGTGATATAATATCATAAAATCATATAAAGTGATTTTAATATGAAATGGAATGTTTTTAAATGTTTAATATGTATTAATTTTAAATTAATTTTAATTTTTAATGTTTTGGAATTGTATGTGTTTTAAGGCATTGAATAATTGACTCTATGTAAGCCGCCTTGAGTCCCCTTCAGAGTAGAGAAAGGCAGGGTATAAATAGGATAAATAAATAAATACCATAATTTTGAAATTATGCTAAATTTATATTTTATAAATATAAAATATATGATTATGATTATGCTAAGTTTATATTTTAAATTTATATTTTCAACCTGTCTAGGACAACTTGGGAGGAAATAGCCAAACAGCTATGATAGCTACAATCAGTCCGGCAGCTGATAATTATGAAGAAACACTCTCTACACTGAGATATGCTGACAGAGCTAAAAGAATAGTTAATCATGCTATAGTAAATGAAGATCCAAATGCCAGGGTCATCAGAGAATTACGTGAAGAAGTAGAGAAGCTAAAAGAACAGCTTTCTCAGGCAGAGGTAAATAAAGCTGGTGAAAATTTTACCTGTGATGTTTCATGAAATGTGTGAAATAGGAATAGTTTTATGTAGTTTTAACAGCTAAAAATTTGGAAGAAGTTATTACCGTAAGTCCACCTGTTGAAATATGGCTAGAATATCCTTAGTGATTCCAAATCTGCTGTGAAATTTGTGTCGCAATAGTTTTGGTTCAAGATAATTTGATGTCGTGCACACACTCAGAGAGCCTTTATGTTTATAGCAGCAAAATCACAGCACAGGCATATACAATAAGAGGAAGTCACAGATAAAAAGGAAAACATACTTAAAAGTTACTAATCTCAAGAATAAAATTTGCAACAGTCTCACAAAAGAATGCATCAGAGTTGTTCAGAAGATATGGAATTTTATAACATTGGGAACACTGTGAAAAAATTGAATTCATGTATCTCAACCGTTAAATTGATGTGCTGCATATTAGAAAGGGGAGAAACCAGTGGCATACAAAAAGAAAGAGAAAGAAGAGCAAGGCGGGTATTTTAAATATGTATGCCCAAGGAGGAGACACTATTTACAACCCTCATGCTATCCCCTCTTAATTTTTTTGTTTAATTAAAAAAGAGGGCCAAGAATCTGAAATAGTTATCATTGCCATCTTTTGGATTTTAAGGCAATGAAAGCACCAGAATTGAAGGAAAAATTGGAGGAATCTGAAAAACTTATAAAAGAATTGACCGTCACCTGGGAAGAGAAGTTAAGAAAAACAGAAGAAATTGCACAGGTATTTAAATACTTTATTACATTTTAAAGCTAAATAACATATCCCTATTTGCTTGAGCCTAACACACCATGGAATCTAATGCATACCTCAATTTTCAAAACCTTGAAGCCAAAAAAAGTATTTCACGCCGAATGTAATGTGTGGCGGCAAAGAATGCACCCTTTGTAATTTGGCCATTACAGTTGCTACCTGCTTAAAATTCCTTCTTTAAAAACAAAAGTGTTAGAACACCAAAGCTCTCAGCAATGGAAAAAAAATTGGGATGCATTAATGCTGTAGAATGAATCCACTTTAATTGCCTTGCTTCAATGCTATGGAATCCTTGGGGGTGTAGTTTTACAATTTATTTATTATTTATTTACTTTACTTCTATACCGCTATTCTCAGCCCGGAGGCAACTCACAGCGGTTCACAACACACAGGAAACAGCAAAGTTCAATACACCAATATAAAAACAGTTAACAACCTAATCAATACACAGTTAGTACACAAATTACTATAATAACCAATCACTAGCATCTCATCACTAAAAACACGATCCAGATTCGTCATCCATTGTTCCATTCCTATGTCATTACCAGTCATTGCACTAATTATTCGAATGCCTGCTGAAATAACCAGGTCTTTACTTTTTTGTGGAATACCATTAGAGATGGTGCTAATCTAATGTCTGTGGGAAGGGCGTTCCACAGCCGGGGAGCCACCACCGAGAAAGCCCTATCTCTCGTCCCCGCCAGCCGTGCTTGTGAAGCTGGCGGGATCGAGAGCAGGGCCTCCCCGGAAGATCTCAAAGTCCTGGTGGGTTCATAGGCCGAGATGCGGTCGGATAGGTAGCTTGGGCCGGAACCGTTTAGGGCTTTAAAGGTCAACGCCAGCACTTTGAATTGAGCCCGGTAGCAAATCGGTAGCCAGTGGAGTTGGCGCAACAGGGGGGTTGTATGCTCCCTGCGTTCCGCTCCTGTTAGAATCATGGCTGCCGAGCGTTGGACTAGTTGAAGCTTCCGAGCCGTCTTCAAAGGCAACCCCACGTAGAGAGCATAGGCAGCCTTCTCTGCCAAATAATGCTGGTGTCCAACCAAACTTCAAATCCCAGGATCCCATAGCATTGAGCCATGGCAACAAAATGAGAGATTAGGTCCCTCAAATAGGAACTCCATGTGCTGCTGAAACAGCTTTCCCTTTTGCTTTGTATTTTACGAATCTAATGTGCACCCTAATTTTGGCAAGGTAATTTAGCAAAAAAGGGGGATTTTAAGTAAATTGAGTAGTAGTTTTGCATCTTTTAAATTAATTGACAAGCTCAACTGAAAACAAGTCTTGGATCCTGGCATCCCAGAAAGAACCTTCACAGTAAATACATTGTCTCATATTCCATCATTTCAAACAAAATTGTAGGTCTGTGTGCATGACTAGTCTTGGTTTCAAAGACTAATGAGGTGATGTAACGGATATAATGGATAGGATAGGCCTACTTAGATAGTCTTCCTTATATTAGTGTCACTTATCTGCTCCAGTCCTATTCTTTTATGTTGGCGAACATTACTGATAACTCCTTTTGCTTCCCTTCAACATGAGGAACATTGCTACTAATTTTAAAAAGTTAATTTTACACCTCATGGTAGAGTGGTGTCAAGACAAGTGTATCCAAAACAAATATGCTATTCTGCTTGTTCTGTCTTTTGAAACTGTGAGAGCATGAAAACTGATATAGAACCTGTCTGTTACGATACTGTGGGAACTCTTGTGTAAACATTTATACATGAATGCTAGCAGCTGTTTATCTTCCGCTCGTGATTCTTTGGATACAGCCCATAACATTTTAGTTTGTTGTTGCTAAAGTCACTGCTAAAACTAACTGCATCTTATGAATTTCAGATTTTCTGTGTATTTTACAGGAGAGACAAAAACAGCTAGAGAGTATGGGTATTTCCCTGGAATCTTCTGGTATCAAGGTTGGGGAAGATAAGTGCTATCTGGTGAATCTAAATGCAGATCCTGCACTCAATGAATTATTGGTTTATTACTTAAAGGTAAAAAGATTATAAATCTAGTAATGGTCTGATTTTGACTAAGTTTTTTAAGGTTCTAAGTTGGCATTTGTGCAACTGGATCTTGAAAATATAGCAGACATAGTATTCTTATTGTATTCTGTCTAAATTGAGTCTAAGAATAAGTATTTACAGGGGCAATTTTGTAAAAGGTGTATTAGTCAGTGCTTATAGTCCTAGTGATAAAATAGAAAAAAAAGAAAAAAAATTAAATGCCCTGAGTTTTATTAGTTGCAGCTGAAGTGCATAGGGCATGGATCCAGGTACCAGTCCTCCTCCTTGCCAATGATGCCTCTCTACCCTCAGCATTGTGACTGGGGGAAAAACTTGCAGAATGACAGTATGAAGGAACCAGTATCAGTATAAACCCCTGTCACATGGAATTGAACCTGGCCCCACATTCCCTGAACTGACATAGATTGGAAAAGCTGAATCACCAAGATCCCTTAAGGGAATTCCCAAAATAGGAGCGAATTGACATGTTGCCTCCATTTCCCTCCCAAACTGAATCTAGCTCAATGTCTAAAATAAGTTTATAACAGATAATTAGACTTAATAAAGCTGTGACAAAATACACGAACTCACTAGCTTTACCACATTGACCAGTTCACCTCTGTTGGTTAGGATCAGTCCAAAAGAGCTGATCCTAATGTGTTCTTCTCTGCCTTCAGTATAATGAAATGGTCTGCAAGACTGATGCAGAACTGGTAGACCTTACATTCTTGGCAAAGTTTGATTTCCAAGAAATATGAGGCTGGTTGAGGTTTTCCATTACTGTCACATCTCTCATTTTTCAATCTTAGATAATTTAAATAGGAAATACCCTATTTAAATCTTTAGCTTGGCAAGTTATAGTACATACTCGCAAGGATGTTACTGTTGTCGAAAGCTTTCATGGTCGGAATAAATGTGACTTTTCTGGGTTGAATGGCCATGTTCCAGAAGCATTCTCTCCTGACATTTCACTCACATCTGTGGCAGTCATCCTCAGAGGTTAAGGTGTCTGTTGGAAACTAGTCAAGTGAAGTTTATAAATCTGTGGAAAGTCCAGAGTGAAAGAAAGAACTCGTGTCTGCTTGAGGTAAGTGTGAATGTTGCAAACAGCCACCTTGATTAGCATTGAATGGCCTTGCAGCTTCAAAGCCTGGCTGCTTCCTGCCTGGGGGAACGCTTTGCTGGAAGGTGTTAGCAGGCCCTGATTGATTCTTGTCTAGAATTTCCCTGCTTTTTGAGTGTTGATCTTTATTTACCGTTCTAATTTTAGAGTTTTTTAAATAATAGTTTAAAGCCCTCCTGATCAGCCGTCTAACACCTCCCAACAAAGGATTCCCCCGGGCAGCAACCAGCCAGGCTTTGAAGCTACAAGGCCATTAAATGCTAATCAAGGTAGCCATTTGCAACATTCACATTGCCTCAAGCAGACAAGAGTTCTTTCTTCCACCCTAGATATTCCACAGATAAATAAACTTCATTTGTCTAGTTTCCAACAGACCCTTCAACCTCTGAGGATGCCTGCCATAGATGTGGGTGAAACATAAGGAGAGAATGCTTCTGGAACATGGCCATATCGCCCAGAAAACTCACAGCAACTTGATGTCTTTGTTATTTATCTTACCTTTAATTTTTACACAAATGCTCTGAATCAGTTTTCCCTACACTTAGGGATCTTCTCTCATATGAAATATATATTGCTGATACTCCTCTTTTTCAATTGGAATAGGTTGTATTTTTTTTTAGTGTCTTCCAATCATGAGAATCATTCCACCAGATTTCAGTGATGCCTATTATTTACTTCCTTGTGTTAGGAATTCAGGGCCATCTTGATTGTGTACCATGTTTGGCATATTTTGTAGGAGAAAGGACATAGAATCATAGAGTTGGAAGAGACTTCGTGAGCCATCCAGTCCAACCCCCTGCCAAGAAGCAGGAAAATCACATTCAAAGCACCCCCAACAGATGGCCATCCGGCCTCTGTTTAAAAGCCTCCAAAGAAGGAGCCTCCACCACACTCCGGGCAGAGAATTCCACTGCTGAACAGCTCTCACAGTCAGGAAGTTCTTCCTAATATTCAGATGTAATCTCCTTTCTTGTAGTTCGAAGCCATTGTTCCGCATCCTAGTCTCTAGGGCAGCAGAAAACAATATACTATTAGTACTCTGTGATAATAGCTAAATGATACAGTGTACAGAGACATCAAAGGCCAGAGTCATGCCGTCTGATTCCTTGGTGCTGTTTTTTCTGCCCACTCTTGAGTATTTACACTGTTGACTCTAGGACTTGATGGCTGCAGCTTTCTGGAATACCAGTTCCCTCCTCCCATTTAGTTTAAAGCCCTCCTGATCAGGTTTGCAAGGTTTTAGCAAATACATTCTTGATAAGTAAGTCTGTCTTTGAGTTTGTAGAAGAAACCGGTTTTATTTTTGTTCTGTCTCACCCAGGACCACAGTAGGGTTGGTGCTGACACCTCACAGGACATACAGCTGTTTGGGATTGGGATCCAGCCAGAGCACTGTGAAATAGACATTGCTCCAGATGGAGAAGTTACTCTCTCGCCAAAAGAAAATGCAAGGTGAAAACAACTATAAAACCAATTTTGATTTACAAGGCCATTAAATGCTAAAGGCTAAAGGTCACTCTGCCTGGCAGACTGTTAGTGATGTATGAATGTGTAAATTTCCCCTATGAATGCATTTGTGCATTTTGAGTCCAAAGGTACCCTGACTTACTGAATAGCCTCCAAAGCCACCTTCATGGCCATTCCATATTTTGGGTGGAGTTGACAAGATCACAGAATTTTCAAGCCATACTCTGGTAGCTGGATGAAATGATGACATGAGCACTGAGGTCTCCTAGGGTCCTTCAGATGTCTCAGCACTACATTCTGGCTATATGGGCATAACCAGGCATTTCTGTGATCCTGCCCACTCCCCACAAAGCACAGAATGGGTGTTCGGGGAGCTTCAAAGACTATTTAATAAGTTGTGTATGTGTGTATCGCTCAGCCCAGTGTAGAACCACATGTTTCACTGAGCATACAGTATTGTAGTGTCTGGCCTCTCATAATCAAAATTCTCTCTACAAAATCTGTGATATAGTGATGCATCCTGCTTTGCAGTGTTCTTGATACATCAACATACAAGCTTCTCAGCGGGCAACCATATTTTAATTCAGTGTTTTGGCTAATGTTTTCTCTAACTCTTTCTCTTTTAAAATTCTGAAGGGCATTAATTTTTAATTATTTAATTAAGCTTAGTTATTGTGCCTAATTGTTGCATGAAATCTTGAATACAGGAAATCTGTTCCATTTTACATGGTGATAATACTATAATTGAGAACTTCTGGATTTGCAGTTCTTTTTAGCTAACTTAATTGTGCTTCACGTGGACATTTAACACTTGTTTCCCCTTTGTTATCTTTGTATCTTTTCAAAATTGGAAACAAAGTAGAGAAATACTATATAAAATATTTTCCTTTTTAAATTACTTGTCTTAGCTTCATTTTTGAGACTTGGCAGTTTAACAAATGTTTAGAAATTGCCTCTGCTTGTTCCACATTTTTGTATTTTCTATGAGGTATGCTTTAGCATTCTGTACTGAAATGCTGTGGACTTAAGAGTACAGAATTCCTAACAGATGGCATTAACTGTTGATGTGGTAGACTTACATTATTTGGAGTTAGTCATTTTTGACTGGCAAGAACAAAGAAGCACAGCGCTGGAAAAAAAGTATAACTAAATAGGCTTTGTTTTCTTTGTGCTGCATCCAAAATTCCTAAATAGGCACAAACCTTGTTACCAGAGTTACAACTGGCAACAAATTGACTCAGTTCATTGCGAATTCAAATAAGAATCTAAAATAAATTGTGATATGGAAACAAATTAAAATGTTGTTCCATGTAGTTATTTACTGCATCTGAATGTTTGTGAGCAGTGAGAAGAATACAACTATTTAAAAGGTGTTTTTCTAAGAAGATTAGATGCAAAAGATGTGTATCTCTGTTTTCATGGGTTTTTGGCACATAAAAAGTATTTTTTACTAAATCAGATTTCTTTCAAAGTGTATTAACATACGTATATTATTTTAAACTAGGGTAACATGTGGAAACTACTTCTTCCGTTAAAGTAATTTGATTCTGGTAGAATTTGTATCACCAAGGAAGTGGCATATGTATGTATCTCATTAAAAAGGTTTTGACCAAGTTTATGCAGCCTGCTTACAATGAACAGCCTGTGACCTAATTACTTAAATGTATGTGTGTATGCTACATTGCTAAAATAGAAGACCTGTCTCCCTTGTTTATGGCAAGGAGGTGCAGCTGCAGTAGTTGTTTGTCAGTAGGAATCAGCCTCTTGTGACATACAGTCTTCATGAGTTAACAAAGACTCCACATTTGTTTGTTTTTACTTCATGCATATTCTAATTTCTGAAGGTAGGAAAACTAGATCAGTTTCCACTACTGTTCAATTAAAAATGCTGAATTTTAAAGAATCTTCTCCATCTATTGAATTAATGGATAACTCATTGATTGATTCCAAAGTGGGCAACAAGCAAGTCTAAGCAAAGAGAAAACATGTCTGCCTAGTTAGTCTGAAGCATAACACGCATTAGAGAACATAACTTTTAAATAAGAGCCAAAAAAAAAACCTTTAGAGCAGAATCTCCTCATGTAGTATACAACCAAATATAATTATGCTAGACAATGGTTTTAGTTGTTAGACTGAATAACCAGCAATTTCTGATCTGTTTGGAAAAACAGAGGTTTGCTAGTGCATAAAAAAGCAGCAGAGCTCCCCATGTTTTTATTCATTGCCCAAAATGTATTCTCCCATAAAATAACTTGTTTCATATAATTCACTGAGGAGACAAAAATGAAGTACACTTTGATGGAAATAACATATTTGGTATACTCACAACATTCATGTGTTCAGCATACACAGGTACAAAACTTATTAGTCCAGTTTCAAATATCTTTGAGATGGTTCCCTGTGCCAGCCGGCCAAGGCATCTCTCTTGTAACAAAACAACTATCAACAGGTCACATAGTCAAAAGGAGAGAGAGAGAAAAAGAAAGAGCATAGGGTCTGCAGCCCCTTTTACAACTTCTCAAAAACCATAGAGTAAAGGAAGCTGCACATCAGAACACATATACAGGAAACAGTAAGCAACAAGATCATAGACAAATAGATTGCTAGAGAAGGTTGTCGTTTCCAACAATACGGACTTGTTCTATTTCTAATGTACATTCATTTTAGTAAAAAAAAACAACCCTGTAATATAATTCCAAGAAATCATGGCACATATCTATCCTCCAACCAGACCCAAGGGAAGTTTTAACCAGTGGGAAGGAAAGAATGGACCTACCTCTATATTTCTGTATTTAAGAACAACCCCTATAATCTTAAATGTAGTAGATTTTAATTTTAAAAAATCCTATCAGCTGAGAACTTGAACACTGTGTTTTCTTTGTAGATCCTGTGTAAATGGCACATTGGTATATTCCATAACACAACTTTGGCATGGAGATAGAATCTTATGGGGAAACAACCACTTTTTTAGGTAATATTTTTACTTCTTTTTTACTGACTTACTTTTTGAACTATGTTGATAGTGAATAATTTTATTGCATGGGGAAATCTATATAGCTTTAACTAAGAGGTGCGTGCACGTGACAGTTCAAAATTTGGAAAAGTCAACGTTCCTAAATTTATGTGGAATAAGTGTAAACTGTGTCAAGCCTCCCTAGACTTTGAAGAAGTTCACAAAATATTTTCTGAGTTTTGTTTTTCCTCTAATTCGATAATTGTGTTGCAGAAACTTTTTTTCAGATTCTTTCTTTTTTTTCTGTATTATCATCATATTCCTGTAAAGAGGAAAACCATCTTGCTTTGTGCTACCTAGTTCACTGTTAATTACGGTCCTTATCCCTGCTTCCTTAAGTTAAGTGAAGCCTGCATTTAAAACAAAAGTTTTATTTCTGAGCAAGAGAAATGCCCCAATATTGGCTAAGCATATTCATTTTAATAACCTGTATAATAATTAAAAACTCTATTTTCATCTTTAGCATGTTTACTCTAACATTTTTATTCTAGACATATTTTCATTCCTTCTATTCCTTCTCTAGAATCCTTCAGTGGTAGAATTCTTACCAGCGGCATCTAAATAGTTATTCTTCTTCCACTCTGTGTTTTTATGCATCTACCAAGATATTTAATAAGGATCTTTATACATTTCAAACAGAATTAATCTACCTAAGAGAAAGAGGCGGGATTGGTTGAAAGATTCTGAAAAAGAAATGCTGTTAGCAGAACATGATTTCGATGCGGCTAGTGAAGCTTCTTCAGAACCAGACTACAACTACGAATTTGCACAGATGGAAGTTATAATGAAGACACTAAATAGTAATGGTAAGGAAGTCATAATTTAGGGCTGTTGAAAATGCCAAACAACAGCATAGATTTCTTTAGGCTCTGCTAATTAATTATTACTATTATTATTGATTGGTTTGCCTTCACAATAGAGGAATGTGGAATAAATTCTATTGTTATCTTGTAGTTGTTTTCATTCTGATAGACTGATCTTAAGTATCTTTCCTTGGAAGTAAGTTTCAGAATTCTGCCTGGTTTGTTTCTCATTAAGTAGACTTTGGATTGAAGTCTTAATCTTGTTACTTCAGTAGCCATGTTGACAAAAACTACCCATAAACTTCTTAAATCACATTTTTTCAATATTCCCTTCATTCTTTTTTATATCACATATGTGATAAAGGTACATTAGATATTAGAAAAGAGACAGAATGTGGGATTGTGTTCTTGTGTGTTTTAGAAACAACAAAGCTAAAGTATGCTACTGTATCAGCAACATAACAGCAAAAGAAGAAAATAAATCCTAAGGTGTTGAGACTTCCTTTCTGCTTAGATCCAGTACAAAATGTGGTCCAGGTCTTGGAGAAACAGTACTTGGAAGAGAAGCGTAGTGCTTTAGAAGAGCAGAGGATTATGTATGAGCGCGAACTAGAACAACTTCGCCAGCAACTCTCTCCAGAAAGGCGATATCAGCATTGCAGTGACAGACTGTCAGATGCTGTCCAGACTACTCAGCAGAAAGTGAATCTCTGGTCAGAAGAGAGGTGAGAACAATGGTGATTTGTTCAAAGTATTAACAATGGAACAGAAGTTGAATAATGGAGAAAGATATGATTAATGGTGCTTTCCTAAAATTCAGAACACAGGAATCTAATAGCTTCTACTGTAAATGTAACTTAGATCTACCAAGTACCTGCCTGGGTGGTATCCTGATGGTTTTAAAGGCCTCCAGTTTACTTCTAGAGGTGAATCTGGGGATGTTTTTGAGGCTTAATTGGCTGGAACAAATAGAACAAATGTCACATTAAATGTTAACAGGGTCGCTACTTGAGTTCATCACTAGAAATACTGAAAGCGTGTTTTCATTCATTCTAAATTGTCGGTTGCACACACTACATTATGTTCTTCAATTATGCAATTGTAAACAAATACCAATATATGAATACAAGCTCTAATGTAGTCATAAAACATACCATCCAGTTTGATCCTACTACAAGTAATGCAGTAATATACTGGAGCATCCATTATTGTTGCATTGTTAATTCGGCACAGGAGACAAGTTTGGAAAGAGATTCAGGAATTGTATACAAGTATTGACTATTCTCTTTGATAGCCTGATGCAATGGGTACTCATTTGACCAACCATGTCTGCCAAGTGGAGAAAAGTGGGCTTTTTATGCCCTGCATTGATCCCACTATGCATGCTGGGATTAGATTTAACTGAGCCTTCAGAGTTTGAAGAGGAAGTTTGAAGTTAGTGAAAGTATGAAATGCTGACGTAAGTGGTTGGTCAGAAATAAGAACTCTGAGCAGGTGTTTGAGATTCAAATTTACTTTGAGATGTTTGGAAGGATTATTTGGCTTTGAAATTAAAGGACTTTTGAGTTATGAACAGATGGGTGAATTAATGATTTAAAGAAAATAACATTTGCATTTTAGGCAGGTTTTTGTCTAATCTGCTCTTAAAAAAGATAGCACGTAACGTAAATCTTGAGATAATGAAAGGCATATTAATTCTGTAAGACCAAATCTGTGCTGTTTTATACAACTTATTCAGCTGAACTGAATAAGTTCAGCTGCTTATTCAGCTGAGCTTATTCAGCTGAGCAACTGAACTTGCTGGCCAAAAGGTTGGCAGTTTGAATCTGGGGAGCCGAGTGAGCTCCTGCTGTTAGGTCCAGCTTCTGCCAACCTAGCAGTTCGAAAGCATGCAAATGTGAGAAGATCAATAGGTACAACTTCTGCTGGAAGGTAACAGCGTTCCATGCAGTCATTCTAGCCACATGACCTTGGAGGTGTCT